TAGAGTCTTCTTGTGTGACAATAGGCAAGTCACTGTGGTTAGATGTTGGCTGTGTGTGTGTTTATTTTGTGTGCTGTCCCAGCTCTGCACAGATAGCGGAGATAGTACAGCTTAATTAAACGCCCAATAAATCCACAGACTTGGTTTTCAGCAAAGGCACCCGGCCAGGTTTATTGTCGATAAAGCACAGTAATAGCACCTGGCAGACTCTACGAGGATACTATGACATGTATGCTCATGATGGATGCAGTTCAGTCAGTGGCAGGACTTTCCACTGCCCCCTAGGCTGGCCAAAGACACTCCATCTGAGATACATCTTTATACACCAGGGGTGGGCAAACTACAGCCCACAGGCCACATCCAGCCAGCCAGCCGATTTAATCCAGCCCTCAAGCTCCCGCTGGGGAGCAGGGTCTGGAGCTTGCACTGTTCCCGCATTCCAGCCGGGGAGCAAGGTCGGGGCCCACTCCGTGCACATGTGCTGCAGCTCCTGGAAACAGTGGCATGTCCCTCCTACGTTTAGGGGCAGCCAGGGGGCTCCGCATGCTGCCCCGTCTGCAGATACCATCCCTGCAGCTCCCATTGGCCAGGAACTGCAGCCAATGGGACCTGCAGGGGCAGCACCTGCAGATGGGGCGGCATGCAGAGCCGCCTAGTCATGCCACCGCATAGGAGCTGGAGGGGGGATATGCTGCTGCTTCCGGGAGCTGCTTGAGGTAAGTGCTGCCCAGAGCCTACACCCCTGACCCCTTCCCATGCCCCAACCCCCTGCCCCAGCCCTGATCCCTATCCTGCCCTCTGAACCCCTCAGTCCCAGCCCGGAGCACCCTCCTGCATCCCAAACCCCTCATCCCCAGCCCCACCCCAGAGCCTGCACCCCCAGCCAGAGCCATCACCCCTTCCTGCACTCCAACCCCAATTTCATGAGCATTCGTGGCCCACCATACAATTTCCATACCCAGATGTGGCCCTCTGGCCAAAAAGTTTGCCCACCCCTGTTATACACCAATACAAACAAGTTACATATTGTCCTTGACGTATCAGGGTGCCACCCTCTGACGTATTAGGGCGCCACCCATTGCCTTGAATGTGTTTGTTTGATTAAAACATTTTTATTCATCATGCGGTCACCCTGACCTTAGCTTTATGATGGGTCACTGTGTTCCTGTTATCTTTGGGGAATATCCTGTATTGAGGTGTTCTGGTACCACCCTTTTGGAATGTGCTTGCATGAGTGCTCTGTGCCCAGCACTTCTTAGCGATATGTGTTTTTGCAATATTAGCCCTGTGCTTGCCAAATTTTGTGAACAGGGCTTGCCTCTTGCTTACAACTTAACTTTGCTTTATGTCAGTAAAGCTTTGACTATTTTAATTGAGGCCTCAGGCCTCATACCAGGCCTTTGATACATGGGCTTATGTTTCAGGCCCTCTTCTTACTACAGTCACTTGCTGCCTCACTTTTCCCCACTTGGGACATGGTACTGTTAACATTTCCCTCCCTCGCTTGTTGTGAGGTAAAATTCATTAATGATATTGTGGTGCTCATATGCTACAATGGTGAGAACCATAAACAAGCCCCTGGATAAGAATGAGTTTTTAAAAAATCACCTCTTGGCAGATACAGCTTGTGTAGATCCTCTGGCCCATATAGGAACCACTGTAATAATCTGAGAAAATAAGTGTTTTCAAAATGCCTAAGGTAAACAATAGTGGACATGCAATAATCTTTTTTACTATAGTGAGACTTCAAGTGGGTTCAACCTCACTATGTCTAATTTTGTTTGTTTGTTTTATAGGACGTATATTTACTTTCAGATGGTTTTCTTATTTTGATTCCATAATATGTTATTTCTTGTGCTATCCATTTCACTATTCAAGTCAACTCCCCTTTACAGTAATCATATTGAAACATTATGCAAGAATCACTGTTTGATCCAGTTTTAAAGATGAAATCTCTAACTGCTACATAATGTACCTATAGAATCTAAGCATTAGAAATGCATTGGATCAGTCTCCTTTCCGATTGTTTGTAGAACCAGAAATATTCAGCAGAAAAACTAAAATTAAATCTCCAGCCAGCAAAATATGTTTTGTAATATCTTTTGATGTAGGCATTACCTCAGACTCATTTGAGATAGGGAAATTCAGTTCTATTTTAATAATTCTGGAATTGATGTTTGCAGTTGCAGTCACACATACAGAAGTGAAGTTAGTATCTGTCTGTCTAGACATTTCAGTTGAGCTAATCAATGTGTGGTACCTGACCACCTTCAAATATTTTGAAGAGCTAGAAAAATCTAATAATGACCGACATATATCATCAGCATAACATGTTTTCTTTGTAGTTAATATCATCAGTTTTAATTCTTGTTCTCCCACACACACAACTCTGTGCACTGCTGCCATAGGGTCTTTTTCAAGGTTTAATGGGAATCCTTTTGAGTCTAGCAAGTGTAGCTATAGCTACATCATTCGGTGTGGGGTAACTTTTAGTCCATTTACCAAAATTGAATCCAATTCCAAATGAGCTCAGTGTTGAGGAAACGGGAAATGTACCTCTTACTCTCCCTTAGGGTGACCATGACCTCCTGAAACCCAGCAACATCCCTGTTTTTATATTGGTTTTACAAAATTTAGGGTGAAATCCTGGCCGTCTTCAAGTCAATGGCAAAATTCCCATGGACTTTTATAGGGTCAGCATTTCACCCATAATGTTTTGTCCCTGTTTTTGTAAATGCTTTACAAATGGTGACCTACTGAAGAAGCTGTCAGACAAATGAGGTGGTGAAATTGATAGCAAGCTAGCTGAGCTCATGTGCGTTTTAAGACCACCCACCACCAGACATATCAGATGATGCCATCTTGCTATTCCTTCTCTCCAGTGAGTAAGGTGATCTGGCTACAGCATTCATAAGCTGAATGGAAGAGTGGTTTAATGGTTAAGGTGCTAGTTAGCAATGTGGAAGTTCCTGGCTCCAGTCTCTACTTCACTTCAGATCCTGGCTCCAGTCTCTACTTCACTTCAGGCTTCCTGTGTGACTTTGGGTAAATCATTTAGTCTCTCTGGGCCTGGGTTCCCAGTCTGTGGAGTGCGGCTGTATATTCAAAGGTGGTGAGGCTCTCACATGCTGTGGAAGGGGGTGGGTGGGAAGGCTCTGTACCACAGATAGCTATATGATAATTTTGCTGTTACCTCATCCTTTCCCTGTACTCCTATTTTTGATGTCTTGATATAACCCAGAATGTGAACTCTTAGATAAAGCCTTTCTAAATTAAGGAAATTCACAGTCATGCAAACCCCTGATGTAGACACCTTATACCACATGCGGAGTATTTCAAACTGGTGTAGTGTACTTGGATGTGTTACCAGTGTCGTAACATTTAGTTAAGTGGGGGTGAATTTCCATATTGTAGACTGGGCTCTGGTGACAGACATTTCAGCTCCGAAGAGCTGACAATCTAGGTTACAATAAGACACAACAAGCGGATGAAACCAACACATTGGAGGTGTGGGGGAGGGAAAAGGATGTTGTAACAATAAAACAAACAAATTATCATACAATAAGCAGTGGTGTCAGCTCAGTACCTGTCTAGACAGCAATGTAGTTACGGACATGTGCACTGCTGTAATGTAGAAAGGACTGAGGAGTCTGTATAGTGGCTAGTGCAATGGGAAACTGATCCTTGATTGGTGCCTCAGGCACTATTGCACTATAAATAATAAATGACCGCAATGACGAAATGCCCTCAAAAACTTGGACTCTCACTGTTCTTGAAGGCCATTCCAGTATCTGGTTTGGGTTAAAATAATGTAAAATAAAAACATTTTGATTCCTATTTTTTATAATGCTACAGCAGAGCTGCTCCTAGCCAAGCTATGTTTCTGCAGAGGGAGGAGAGAGAGCAGAGAAGCATTCCCCACTACCTCCAACCTCTCCAAGGTGCATCTTCTTGATGTTCCACCAAGACTCTGGACCAAATATGCAGCTGTCTGCAACCCCCGCAACATGTCCTGGTTTCTGGGTTTGACAATCTGGTCAGTCTGTGTTCCCTTTCAAATTCCATTTTCTTATCTATTATTTAATAGATCAATCAAAATAAGTACTAGAACTGGTGAAAAAATGGAAACCCTCTTTCAGGAAAATTTTTGAAAATGTCAAAGTCGTTCTTGTTCTGCAGGTTTCACAGAATCATAGAACCATAGGGTTAGAAGGGACCACAAGGGTCATGTAGTCTAACCCCATGCCAAGATGCAGGATCTGTTGTGTCTAAGCCATCCAAGACAGATGGCTATCTAGCGTCCTTTTGAAAACCTCCTTTTGAAAACCAGTTTTTCTTGTTTTTTTTTAAACTTTCATTTTTGAAAAGTTTTGGTTTTTGGTTTGTTTCTTTTTTCTCCCTTTTCAACTCAACCTCCCCCCTATTGTTTTCTTTTTTCATTTTGCCACTGAAAGAGGAAGGGAAAAGGGTGGTGGAAGGAACTGAAACTGAAAATACAAAAGCCAGAAAAGGAAATTCAAATTGTATCCAACTAGAACAATTTTGAGAAACAAAAATCAAAAAAAATTTTGATTTTTTTAAAAGGGATATTTTTGCTTCAAAAATTGTACAAAATATTTTTTTAATGTAAACAGCATGTTTGTAGTAAATTTTGGTGGTTTAGATAAAATGTCTGGGGAGGGGAAACTCATTTCAGTCCTTATTCTGTTAGCCTTCTTAAAGCCATTTGAGATAGTAGCTTATTCATTTGGGACCAGATTGTGACCCCTTACAATGGTGAGCAGTTAATCACATGAATAGTTCCTTTGACCTCAGTGGGAGTACTTGTGTGAGTAATTGCCTATGAACAGGCCAGTTTCTGATATCCCTACTTGCGCTGATTAGTGCTGTAATCCACCACTAGTCTTACTGAAGTCAGTGGTGCTCCTGATGAAGTAAGGTACTATTAAACCACAGTAGAGGCAACAGATCTGACCCACCGTGAATGAGGAGAGTTCACATTCCGGGCCTTACTATTTTAATCTTTTTCAGTTTTTTTGAGATCACATTCAGAAATACATTTGTGTTACAGAAAAATATGTTGACAGCCATATAATCTGCCCTGGGGAAGGACAGGCTCTTCATCTGTGTTTGGTACAGTGCTCCACACAACGTCCTCTGATCTTGATCCTGATGGGGCATTAGGGCACTACTGTAGGAAAAAAGATGAATAGTATTTAAGGGAAAGACTGAGAACCCTATCTTCACACTGGTGAGAAGTTAGTCACAGGAGGAGTCCCACCAAATTCCATTCCCAATCTGGATCAGTAAATGATATTGAATTGAGGGGTACTGGGCATGGAAGTCACTGCTCAGTACTGGGAATAAGGCATTCTCAGTCAGGCCCTACACATTCATGGTTAAATGGATTTCACTGCAGTAGTGGTCTGCTTGTATGTTTTCCATTCCATACAGGAAACAGTGCAAGTTACTGCTTTCTTTTACCTCTCTAATTTTTGGTGTAAAAAAAAAAGTAAGCATATATATTTTGTGGAGTAAAGTTTTGCTAGTTCCAATTGGCTACAAGACTGTTCCCCTTATTTGTCTGTGGACAGTAAGGGAAGGGTATGCTAATAGAATTCTGTCATTCAGGAATCAATTGCAAAGGAGCCCAGGACAGAGCTCAGTGTGCTGAGGTGTGCAGGATGGATGGTAGCTAATAAATCACCTCATTACTTCTTGCGTCTCATTGCAGCTGGTATTCGTAGCTGTGTGTATAATCTCATTACTGTACTGCAGTTCTTCTGTATGGCTGTGGGAAGGGCAAATTCATTTCAATCCTTATTCTGTCAGCCTTGTTCATGTTGTATATGTACGGGGACTGTTGCCCCCTTACTAACATTCAGTGGTGGTGTTTTGGTTGGCTAGCTCCCAGTACTAAAAGGGGAAGGGTCTATGGGAAATCAGGACCCTGAGACTCATAGGCCCCAGGAACAATAGGGAGAGGCCAGTGCTCCAGGTCAGCCTGAATGACAGGGCGGGCAGGCTAATCAGGGAGTCAGGAGACCAGGGAGGTCCCATCCTCCCTGTGAGCTGGAATTGCCTGGGTCAGACAGCATGGGGCCGAGCTAAGGAGAAAGCAGGGGCCCAAGCTGAGCTGGGGAGCAGAGCTGGGCCAGATCCAGAGAGAGCAGACCCTGTCCTGGGAGCAGAGCTGCGGCCTCAAAGCCAGAGGCACAGCCCAGAGAGAGTAGAGCCAGAGGGGCCAGAAAAGCAGCCCAGGAAGCAGGTCAGTGCTGGGAGCAGAGTCACAAAAGCAGCCTGCAGAGCAGACCTGTCCTGGGAGCAGAGCTGCAGCAACCAGAGGGGCCAAAGAAGCAGCCCAGGGAGCTGGAGGCAGAGCAGCAGCAGCAGTGCTGAGACAGAGTGGTGGAGCTGGGGCGGGAGCAGTCAGGAGCGGGGTGCGGTGAGCAGCTGGGGAGAGTGAGGGGGTTCCTGGGCAGCAGGCCCAGCACAGGAAGACACTTCAGCCAAGAGGTTCTGCAGGCTAGGCTTGGATCGTAACCCCGACAGGGCGGGAGTGACACTGGGAAGAAGGTCCTACTACTTAGAGCCTGAGAGCGTGTGGCCACCACCAGAGCAAGTGTCCAACCCACAGCATCCCTGCAGCACAGCCAGGGCCTGAGAAGGCGGCCTGGGACTTACAAGGAACAGACTGTGAACTGCCCGGACATTCCAGAGACACTGTTTGTGATGTTCCCTGCCACAGAGCGGGTTGATGTGTTTCCTTTAACCTTTCCCATTTTTCCTTACTTTTTTTTAAATTAATTGTTGATTAAATAACTTGCATTTGCTTTAACTTGTATGTAATGGTCAGTGGGTCAGAGAAGTGCCCAGTGCAGAGAGTATTCCGGAGTGGGGACACCCTAGTTCCTGTGCTAGGTGACCACAGCAGGGTTGGGGGTCGAGCCCCCCCAGGAATCCTGGGCCCAGCCTTGTTGGGGTTACGAGGACTCTGCTAGACAGGAGAGTGGAAGGGGAGTCCTCAGGGGCAGGGAGGCCACTGGGTAAAGGAAGTGGGAGCGAGGACTCAAATCCTTTCACTAGCCAACTTCTCCGGGGTAGTGCAGAAGCCAGGAAAGTTCCCCACAATAGCGGGACTATTCCCCCGCTTACATATAGTACCTTACTCAGAGCTAGATTCTTGATACCTTTAATCACACTGAATACTCAGGGTAGGATTCTGTGCTGTGCCTCTAAGAGGTGTAATGCCCAACTTGCAGCTCAGAAGGCATGGGAGGTTAAGGTAGAAGGCATCTTTCTTCTTCCTGATCCTGGATGTTCCTGGGGCCCTGTCTATGTTACAGCAGCCTCCCTGGGGCTACCCTATTGGCCATAGCATGGCCTGGAATCTCTGCAATGCTATTTGCTGTTGCCCTTGTGCCCAATGTGCCCCTCCTGTCACCCAGCATCAGGGCTCATGATTAGTTCTCTGGAAGGCAGTAATATGGATATCTCCTGCTGTGCTCATACTACGAGAATCCTCCTCTACTCACACACACCAACCAGACAGGAGACTTTTGATGCCCTTTTATGTCACTCCAGCCCTCTGACTCAGTATAAATGGGCCAGAGTGGGGATGAGGATCTTGTCTTAGCATTTTACTCCATGAGCAGCTACACTGAGATCAGTGGGACTAGGCACAGCATCAGGTAATGCTCAATTTAAATAGAGGTTCAGAATCGAGCTCCATTGACTTCAGTGGGACTATTTCCAGAGTAAGGTACTGCACGTGGTGAGTAAGTCTGGAAGAATCTGAACTTTTAGACTTTGCTGCTCAGGTTGGTGATCTACAGGAATGACAGGGCTGCAGATGTTTTCTGAGGGAAGATTGTTTTTAAAAAATCTGTTTATGGCTAGCTTGTGAGCTCCTTCCTCGCACTAGTGAACAGTCACATGAGTAGCCCCATTGCAAGCAGTGGAACTATTTGTGTGAATATTTGCTCATCATTGTCAGGAAGGAGCTCACAATCTGTCTCTTAACAAATGTGTAGTTGCTGAGTTTTGGATCTACATTAGGGAGTAAGACTACCTGGTGCTTAGCTTCAGGTGTGTAGGCAGAGCCAGCTGCTGCACACTTATATACTTATCCCCCACCCTAGGGCAAGTGGGTGAGGGAGGGAGTGATGCTTTGGCATCACCAACCCCATTTGCTGGGCAGTGCAACTGTTGGTAAAGTCTAGCAATAAATTATACCCCCTCCCTGAAGCAAGGAAGGAGAGAGGAATTATGAATCGGAGGAGTGTCTCTGCATAATGTCTTGGTGGAGATTATACATCACCCCTTGCTCCAGACTGTGCCTAAAATTACAAACTGATTTTAAAATAACTCTGGTTGCCACCAGCAGAAACAGAATCCTTTCAGGTGCTCTCACTGCTGCATAAAATTTCAGCTTCTCATGTGGAATTTAACACAGCTGCCAATCATGGAAAGTATTAAGTTACCTGGTTTATCCCCCTGATAGTGCACAATTATTCTCTTGAGTGTATTTGCTAGTTCTTTGTCTCCAATGCTTTCCTTAGAAGAGTATCCACAGAAAAGGGTGGGTGTGGGGTTGTGATAGGGCAGTGGTTCTCAAACTTCATTGCACTGTGACCCCTTCTGACACACAACCCCACGCCACAGGGGCCCGCAAAGCTAAGTTGCTTGTGCTTCAGCTTCAGCCCTGTGTGATGGGGCTCGGGCTTCAGCAGGGTTGGCATTAGACTCGCTGGGGCCCAGGGCAGAAAGCCCAAGCCTCGTTGCGCAGGGCCGAAGCCTGAGGTCCCTGCATGGCAGGGCTTGGGCTTCAGCCCCGTGTGGCGGGACCTGGGACTCGGTTTTCTGCCCTGGGTCCCAACGAGTCTAATGCTGGTCCTGGCGACCCCATTAAAATGAACTCGGACCCACTTTGGGATCCCGACCCACATTTTGCGAACTGCTGGGACAAGGTATTGTTCGCTTGGTACAAAAAACAGTAGAAAATATGAGGCAAAGACATATGAGGAAAATGCCAAGCACATTGTGGATGCAACTGGAAAACATATTATTAATATTAGGTACTGCAAAATTCTTTTTTTTATTATTTATACCTCATGCAGCCCTTGATTTCAGTGGATTTACAGTGTAGAATTTGGCCGTATCATTTTTGTGCTAGGAATATGATGTCAATCTGTGAAGTGTATGTCAGTGCAGAGCCTGGGCTTTACTTTCTAAAGTTGAAATCATGGAACATCCAAGACCCAGAGTCAGCATTTCAGCTTTTAAACAGACGCTCAGATCAAAGACAGACATCTGAAGTTCTGACATACCTCTTTGATTTGGAGATTTCAAAACTATTTTCTCCCACTCAGGCTAAATCACAAAGTTGCATTTAAAGGTTTATACTCTATTAATGTGTCTTACTACAGCAAACTGACCTGTTATTGTTTTAATGTGTGTAGCTTTTTCCTTTTTACTCTACTGAATTCTCTTTTCTTATTCTTATTTCTTATTCCTTAGATCTTTTACTGGCTTTGATAACTTCTAAGAAAAAAGTTTATATGTTATGCATCTTAAATCATTCATTTTCTCATTTGCTGAGTGCTGATGATAGATTTCCCTTTGCATTTGCTCAAATTGTTATGTTCTTTTTTCTAAAATATTCTTTTTTCTAAAAAAAAAAAAAAAAAGAAAAGATTTCCTGGTGTTCTTTGTGGATGAAAAGTTGGCATTCTGTTCAACTACATTATATTATTTAATTGCTTAACACCAATATATTGTATTGGGTTTGGTGTAAATATGATGGGTCTGATACATCACTCTCTTAACTTGGTGCCACAAGAGTGTGAAAGTGGTGTAACAGAGTGGGGAATCAGGCCCCGTGTGTCAATAGGTAGGGAAATAGATTTGACATCAGTTTTTAAGTGGAACTCACATAGGAGACTGATGGCGAGTTCTGCTGAAAAACTAACGGCATGATATGGCCCTCTGGTTTTTGAACCATGCTCCTCATCACTGTTTACAGATTTAATAACTAGATTCACTTTAGCAGTCTGGTCAGGTGCTACTTAAAACAATGTTTCAGTTTTGATAGCAAGAAAATTTTGGATTTCATCTTTACCAGCTACAGGCTAAATTGAGAGTTTACTTTCAGCCCCGGATAAAGGGTGACGCTTCTCCAAAAGAAGCTCTGGGAAGAGAGTATGATCCAGACACCCCCCTGAATCATCGTTTCTCTGGAGCTCCTGTTTTATGTAGCGTGAAGGGCATATGCTGTCAGTTCATTATCAGATGTGGTATATTCTGCCCCCCCTCCACACTTCTTCATGTCCAGCCAGCTCTGCTCGCTGGGCCATAGGCTGGGGCAGAACCATGTATCTGCCTACACCATGCCCCCATCCTGCCCTTGTCCCTCATCGTGGCTCACATTGTGAGGAACAGCAGGCATGATTCCTCTGCTCTTTCCCACCACCATGTCTAGACTCAGGGTCTTCAGTAGGTCCTCCTCGACCTTGCAGGACCTTACTACCATGCACAGCCACACAAGTCATACTCATAATCTAGCACAATGTCTTCTGTTTACTAAAATCTACAGAATGATGCAACTAAACTGCTAAATCAATTGGCAGTATATACCAAATAGCTACAGTAATGGATAGCAGTGCTATATTGAATAATATGTTGTAATGGTGTAGTAAAATATATTGCAAAAACAATATGCCATGCTTAACAAAATTTCATCTTGAGATACCACTAATGTTTATGGTTTGTTTTGTCTTTTATATATTCTCATTACAGTGAGAGAGTATGTTTTTGGAAATTGATCCACAATATAGGATATGTTATATTTTCAGCAATAAAACATTACCCAGGGAAGAGAACAGAGGGAACTCTCGATTGTTACCACAATGTGAATCTCCCTTTGCTAGCTAAAAAAATAGTAGTTTTCTAAAGCGAAACCCTTGGAGGAAATCATATGTAGAGCTGGGTTGGATTCCAGGCTGGTGCAGAATAGGATTGTAGTCCATCTGTTGTTAACCTCTGATCACCAGAGGCAAAACATTGTTTCCTCTCTAAAATGGTTCTCTCAGGGAGGGTGGGGGTCAAAAATAATATGTGAGATATATTTTATATCAAAGAGCCTTATAGAGAAAACATTTTGTGAATGAGCTCAGCAGTAAAAAATTAAAGTCTCCTAAGTGTCCTAGAAAAATGTGAATGTGTATATAGGATAGCAGAATATTGCACAGTGAACAGCATTGCAAAAGGAACGGTATTTTAGACACCTTACTCTAAAAGATATTAAAAAGGTTAACCTACAAAATGTCCTAGTCCCAGTGCCATATTCCATCTTGTGTACAACTACAATCTACCTCCCCAGTTTCCTTCTCCAATCTTCATCACTCCCCTGAAGTGTCATGTAAACTTTACATATTCTATACAATTTATGTTTTTATACTGCACTCATCACTATAGTATCTGAGCACCTTGCTGTGATCTCTTAAACAGTTGCTGTGTCCTTCAAGAGGTACCTTCAGGAAGAAAAGTTCTCCGTCACTCAAGGCCTGCTTCTTCTGTCGTTATGTAGGGACTGGTTTCCACTGGTTCACCATTTCCTTGATGGAGTTTTGGGGGAAGGTTGAAGGTATGTTGCCATAAGACATAAGGTGAAAGGAGCTTTTGTGCTGCTATGATTTACTAGTTGGCTGAGTTAATGTGTTACCAATATATAAGCTTTTAATATTGCTGGGTTGTCACTATACATCTAATTAATCATTGAGCCATCTAGATCTTTGCAGATGGGTGTTTTAAAATCTAAATAAATGAATAAATATTGCTGTGAGCTTTAGTACAACTCAGTATTTCAAAACTGTCATGATGTCTTCCAGTTATAATTAGGGATAAACCTAATTGTAAAGGAAAAAGGGATTTTCAGTGCTGGGATTGTATTACAAGTTAATTGACGATAGGCACCAGGCTAAATGAGCCTGATACAATGATTTATTTACATCAGCTCTGGTGCATTTAGCAATTCATTATGATTGTATAGACACAGATGTCACTAGGACTTCATGCCTTTGTGGTTCTCTCCAAGGCTAGAAAATTGAGGCAAAATCAGAAAACTGCCAGCAATCCAAGGGACCCCATCCTGCAAGGTCTTCAGCAGCCTGTGCTCTCATTGGGTCAGATGGAGTGCTGCTGATCAGGATCCCCCTTTGCTATTACTCATCCCAATCAAGTTGGATGTAATTAGATTTATTGTTAGCCTAACAATAAGGCCTTTAATTGCTGCATAATTAGCCTGATTAAGTGAAGAGCTGCTCAGGAAATGCTGGGGGGCGTTTCCCCCTGTGGAAAATTGCGACCTTTCATCAAAAACCTGCAAATCAGATATTTTCAACCAAAACTGAAAGTTTCCATCGGGAAAATCAAAACTGAACCCTTTTGCTACAATGTTTAGTTACAGGGCAGTGTCCTCCTATGCTGCCACAGTGCTTCATGGGTAGGGTGACCAGATAGCAAGTGTGAAAAATTGGGACGTGGGGTAGGAGGTAATAGGTGACTATATAAGACAAAGCCCTGAACATTGGGACTGTCCCTATAAAATCAGGACATCTGGTCACCCTACTCATGGGAGTTGTAGCTTGGGTGCCTCATGCCCCCACTCTCCCATATAGGCCAGCCTGCCTGGCTGGACTACGTCTTCCAAGTCAAAATTTTCCACTGAAAACCCAGTTTAGCTCTCATTTAGTCAAAAATCCACTTTCCATCGAAAAACAGTTTTGATAGAAAAAATTCAGTTGGTTCTATTGAAGTGAATTTGGTGCTCAGAAAAGGGTCTGGATTGACAGCCTTGAAGAGTGATGTCCTCTAATTACAGACCAATTACGGACCACATTCAGCAGTGCCAGCTTCTTCCCACTTCACCACAAATGTGCTTCAGCCCTGGCCTGAACAAACCACTTCTGCTCCATTGCCTGTATTATCCCTGCCCTCTATGCACCGACTGTCAGCTGGGATGCCAATTAGCCCCAACCAAAGTTAGTATTTTTTGTAACATCTCCTAATTCTTAATCCTACTGCATTCTTTTGAATTTTCTACACCCTCCTTCTTTCTTAAGAGTTAAAGGCAAGAGAGGTTGGTTTGGATTCCTGTCTTCTGGTTGTTAAAGGGGGCATGGTTCAGGATGATCTCACTGTTGCCCTCCTTAGGGCTATGGGAGGTAGGTTTGGAATCTAATTGTATCGTGGAGAAGAGGCCCAGTTCTTTCAGACATAGATGTGGTGGGAAAGCCCTTCATAGAATGCAGGAATAGAATATCTGGCGTATGCAATATCCATCACTGTGTCACTTGGAGGTGGGTGCAGATCAGCTCAAAGCAGATATGCAGTACTGTGAAGGAAGTGAAATGGGAGCTAGTGGACCCGGGCCTTGTTCCTAAATGGAGGAGACAGACAAAAGATTGGATCCAGGGTCATGCAAGTTGCTTCCCAGACTTTAAAAAGATTAGCTGCCTCTATTTTGTCCAGCAGAAAGTTCATATGGTGGAACAGTTTTAATTTTGTTTACACATTGACATTCTTCATTTCATGTTTAAGGCTGGGATTTCAAAGGAAGTTCAGCATCCAATTTACACTGAAAGTTTTTTGCCTTTGGACATCTAACTACCTTAGTCTCCATTGAAAATCCCAGCCTAAATCAGTACCATAGCCAGATAGATGCTGCTTTATGCTGTCTGCCATCCAGCCCGCTCTCAGCCTGCTTTTGTCACATACCTCTCCACTCTTCAAGGCAGCCAACACAGCCATCCCCACCTCCACACAGCGCATCGCAAACGTTTTAACGTTGAAATACAGCCAGTGCTTTAAACACAGAAAGATGGACTAACTGCCATTCCCCCCAGTCCCCATAAAGTCTACCTGGCTGGACTCAGTCACTGTGAATTCCTACAGATTGGTGGGAAAGATGGAGATTAAGTTTAAGTGAGGGATAGTTGATATCAATTAATGTCAGAGTTTGACTCTAACAGAAAAAGGTTAGTGAAGGACAGGCAGTTATCAGACATCTTTCCACTGGGACCTCAGTATGTCCATGCTGCCTTTTCTAATCCTACCTGATTTAACAAAGAGAAGGTTAAGGGGTGATCATATCTTGTAAGTGCCTACCTGGGAAATACAAAATTGAAACTGGGCTCTTCAGTCTAGCAGGCAAAGGTATCACAAGATCCAACGGCTGGAAGTTGAAGCTAGACAAATTCAGGCTGGAAATAAGGCACAATTTTTTAACACTGACACTAACCATTGGAACAATTTGTCATGGGATATAGTGGAATTTCCATCCCTGGCAATTTTTAAATCAGCATTGGGTCTTTTCCTAAAAGAGAAAAGGAGGACTTGTGGCACCTTAGAGACTAACCAATTTATTTGAGCATGAGCTTTCGTGAGCCACAGCTCACGAAAGCTCATGCTCAAATAAATGTGTTAGTCTCTAAGGTGCCACAAGTCCTCCTTTTCTTTTTGCGAATACAGACTAACACGGCTGTTCCTCTGATTCCTAAAAGAGAGGTTCTACTTCAAACAGGGATTATTTGGAGGAGTTCTATGGCCTGTGTCATACGGCAGGTCAGACTAGATGATCACAGTGATGTCTTCTGGCCTTACATTCTATGAACTACAGGCTGTTAATCCCAGCTGAGTTCTCCCAACACTGGACTTCAGAGAGGTGCTGTTTCTAGCTGAGACCTTCCTTGGGCCTCTCTCTTCAGCTTGATCCAGAAAGGAGGTGTAAAACCTGACTTCATGCTCAGTAATATGACCTGAGTGAGAGGATAGGGAAAATGGACAGGAATCAAATATTATACACACATACATGCACAAGGGCTATATCTTTGACGGGCAGTGATGTTGCATGTCAATAAATTCACCAGAGAGGGGAGCCTGCGTTGGGAAAGCATCAAGCTGCACATAAAAACTAGCTGAACAAGTGATACAGCAGCATCACATCATGCAGCATGGTGTGTTAAAACTGATGGGATGAGAAGTGCTCCTTGCCATGCATGAGCTATGAAGTCTGAAGATAATATTTGTAACTACAATTAGAGCTTCAGAACCTTTTGCTGGCAGCTGCTGTCTCACGGAGATGTGACATTGTCCCTAATGCGGTCAGTGGTGAAAGAAGAAATGATATTTGAGACTTGTGCATCTGTGGTCCTAGCTTAATCATGAGAAGAAAATTTCTGCTACTTGACTCCATTTTTACCTCTCTAATTAGACGGACCATAATCTCCTCCCTGTAATCTGAGTGGAATTTAATAAATTGATTTTGACCTTACAAAGTCCTAAATAGTTTGGGACCCAGCTACCTCAAGGGCTACCTTTCTGTGTAGATATCTCTGCCGTTGTGGTCAGCACAGGCAGTTGAGCTAACAGTTCTTTGGGCTGGAATGTGTGGGTTCGGAGAGGGTGTGGCTGGTAGGGCAATTTCCATGAAAGGTCTTCAACTCAAATTCATTGTCTATCAAAGCCAAAATTTGTTGACCTTCAGGGCATGCCACAAAGATCCATCTGATTTTTGTTGGCCTTTGGTAAGAGTGTGGGATGAGGGATGGGATGGCTGAATGAAGCGAATGGCTCTCGGACACCTTGATGGAAGGAGAGGACATAGTATTTTTAATATCTTTTATCTTCTGATTTTATGCATTCAATGTTTCTGTAAAATAACACCCAGAGCTAAGGATAGGCACTCTGCGAATGAATAAATAACATCAAACCTAGAGTGTTTTGCTGCTTGTTGTCAGAGTGGCCTCTGCTGAGGAAGGCAGAGCGCATCAGCCAAAGGCTTCCTCACCTCTGCCTACAAACTATTCCAGGCTCCATTTTGTGTGTCCAGTGTATTATATGGCACCATAAACTTCTTATCCTATTCACTCAAACCCCAGGTTTACCCTCCAGTCTCCAATTTCTATAGATTGCTGATGCACACAGCAATACCAGCCGGCACTTACCTAGCAAATTCTGGCGCTGGAGATTGAGCATGTACTGATGGGACAGCATTTCCCTCAGAGGTTTGCTGTCATAAACTCTCATGATGCTATAGAGGTAGCATTTCTGGCCTCGCTTCAGGTCCTGTAAAAGCAAGGCAGCGCATGGCAATTTAACAGTTAGGACTAAATTTACATCTGATTCTATACTGATTTCAAACTGTAACGAGGGGATTTACGTCCATTGTTCTGTTGCACGGGGATTTTATTAAATAAAGCAGTAATTAAACCTGAGGAAGAAACCTTTACAGGCAAGTTTTAATTTAACCTTCTTTACCATTTAAATATACACAGAAACTAGGCTACAAGAATGGATAGCACCCTCTAGGTTGTTACCTCTGCTCCTGAAGAGACATTTCTGTTTCATTTAACTAAAAGAGTTAAGTAAGACCCCAGACTGTGAGTGAAATACAAAGAACACTAAACTAGGCCTGCTATCAGTCTGTTACCTTCAGTAAGTAGGTATCCTGAGCAGATGGAGGAACTTGTATGCATAAAACTTTTGGAGAATGACGGGGACCAGGATTTCTCTTCCAATTTTCACCCATCCTTACCCAGCCTCTCAAAAGATTCAAAAACATGAGACAAAACCAAACTTTATATCAATAATTATTCATGATCTTCAAATATCCAGTACAACTCCTCGGAGGGGAGGAACAAAAGCAGAACTAAATTTCCAGACCCATACGGAATGGGCTCTGGTTGGAGGCCCTGGAAATAAGCATAAAGAAGAACTGGATCACTGGGCCCACCTGGAATGAACTCTGCATACTGCCCTGGGGAAGAGAAGAACAAAAACCAGAGTTCTGTCTGCCTTTCCCTTGCGCAAATGCTTTGCTCTCATAACTGTGAATTGTAAATTGTCACCTTTCAAACTGGACTTCGGAAACCATGCAGACCTCACACTACATAAAGCTAAAATGGAGACACCTTCCTATCCCTCTTCACCCATTGTAGAGTGCTGGTGCGAGGGATTAATTTAAGTATATAGTGATTTACAGAGAGAATACATATATAATCCCTGCCCCAAAGAGTTTACAATCTAAGGGTCAGATTCTGATACCCTTATTCACATTAGGTAGCACCCTACCCCACAAAAAGTCCCAAGGAAGTCAATTGTGAGGAAGGTGCTATACAGCGTTAGTAAGCCTATTAAAATTGTGTGGTAAATTGGATACGGTGTGACATAATAGAAGGGGAAACGACACAGGGCAAGCTAATAAGGTTGCGTCCTTTATACTCTGGGTCACTGCACTACCTACTTTTTAAATGTTATTATCCTACTTACGTTAGAAGGGCAGCATGGGTGTAGGAGTCAGCGTTGGAGAGACTGTGGGAATAGACGAGTTGTGAGGAGGAATATGAAGGAAAAGGAGGTTACATGGTATGCAGGATTTGGAAGGTATTTCAAGCATAGGGGAAAGCATAGCAATTAAATCTTTCCTGAAATCATAGGCTATTTACAGCAAGGTGATCCCACCCCACTCTGACCATGGTGAAATCAAAGATCCCATGGCACTTTTCCAATAGGCATGTAAAGGCTAATCCAGGTCAACATTTCCCCCGCTCTCTCTTTTAGGAGAACTGCTTCTGACATCTACAGCTATGTGTGCTGCTGCTTAATGCACAACACCTGCTGCGTTTGTCTACCCTGTTAGTGAGTTGCTAGCATTTAGTTTACAGTGTTGTGCGTTGAGTTACCTGGAATATGAAAGACCTCATACATAAAGCAAATTCTGTTCAGCTCTGACTCACCCCCGGAAATACAGCTTCCCTTTTCCACACAAGACAGCCTTAATACAAAACTCAGTTTCTCCCAGGAACTGTCACGTTCATTCTGTTGACAAATATCCTAGCAACATAGAGGGGGAGAGAGAGAGCGTTACAAGGAACTCTGGGAAGTTGGCCAAGTGCCTTGAGCAACCTCTGACCATCAACCTGCTGATTTTTTTTTACAATGACTCCATCTTTGTTGTGTAGGAATGGGTCTGACCATTCTACTTCTCCCGGGGATCTGGATGTTGTCTGAACAGCTAAATGAAACTTTTGCTCAGTCTTTATTTTGTGGTTGTAAAAACACTTGTGCAAAGACAGCTGGGGTTGCTGGGAGAATGACTTAGTTTTGAAGACCAGCACTTCCAATAGCACAGTGAATCTTTCCACCATGCAGGTGTGCTGGGAAATGGAGCATGCCCATATTATGAGAAACAAACAGCAGATAGACAGCCCGATACAAGGAGAGAGAACAGAGAATAGACCCAGGTGAATCCTACAAAAATGTTCTATAAACATACCTTCAAATTTATCAACAAATGTCCTTCATCTGTGTTAGCAGGAGGCATTTTCAAATGCACCTAAGTGAGGTAGAATCACAAGTCCTATTGACTTTCAATGGACTTGTACTCCTCAGTCAATTGAAAGTCCCACACAGCAACTTTCTCTGTTTACTTTTGATGAATATTCTAGCAAATGAATGTACGGATAGGAATGTTCACAGAAACTGTGAATTTCCAGGGAATACTGCAGGATATTCATGGAAAGCAAATTTTAAATGCATGCTCTGTAACTTCCTTCTCAGAGTTATGTTCATCCAGGCAGGAAATGGAAGCGTACAATGTGTCTTATGTGTCTGATCAAAATAGCACAATTTCTTACTACGCTCAATGAGCTGCTCACAAATAATCTACAGGCTGAGAATTATCTGCAGAAAGTATTTAGTGAGTAATTTCAAGTAATGAATAAATTCAAGAAAATGATTATCAGTTCACAGACTAGTCATGAACCAAGTAAGGAGAGGTCCGATCCATTGATTAAATGAATTGGTACCATTACTATGTACTTATCTAGTGGTAGTGGAGAGACATTTTGCTATATAGTAAACGGCATGCAGTATGCACTCAGAAACTGATTCTCTTATAAATATATTATGGTGAGAATGAGAAGTGGGTAAACTACTCAGATCACTTATTTACCATCATTTTATAGGTTTAGTACATAATCCTCCTTTAATACACTGTCCTTCACCACAGAACAAACACCAAACACCTTTTCCCGTACCACATTACCCAGAAGGGCAGGAGAAGCAGCCTAGTGATGAAGGATATGACTCTGCAATTGTTGCTCACATTGTGAGTATCTCGCCTGATTAGATGCTTCTAAATGTGAGTTAGGATAGCAGAGGCAGGCCCTCATATGCTGTTTGTAAGATAAAACAAAGGGAAATTTGCCACTGGGATGCACACCCTGGAGCTATACAGAACCAGTCCCACCCACAGTCCATCTTTAAGGAGGCACTAGGATCCATCCCCTGAGGTCTCTCTAATGAATACACCCCAGCTAATCACTATATCTCTTTAATTTTAAAGAGACAGGACTAGCTTTAGGGAACAACTCTCCCTGGACCTGGTGGCAATGAGACTATATTTGTACAAAGAAAGGGGAAAAGGAGTTCGTTTCAACTCCTTTAATAAATATTTGGGTTTTAAATGAATGCATGAACTCAAACTTATGCTCTAATCACATAGTGTGATTCAGAGCATTTAATGAATGCAGGAAGTATTTACTGTACATGAGGGTGTTTGGACAAGGTTTAAGAAAACGGTATGTCATGGGGAAGCTTGTGTATCTTAATACTTAGTCCTGCCATGAGTGCAGGGGACTGGACTTGATGATCTCCTGAGGCCCTTCCAGTCTTATCATTCTATGTTTAATGGAGCTTGAAGGGGTTCTCAGCTCTGACTTGTTCCATTGCCTCATCAACAGACCTGAGCCTTGTCCTGAAAGGAATGTCTTCATCTGACGGGATAAGAAATATAGTTTCCATGTTCTCTCAACTCTAGGCTCCTGCCCTACAAAACACACACTCACACATAGACACCTCTCTCTCTCTCTCTCTGCTCATCCTCATCCTCCATTAGACAAATATTCTACAATGATGGGCACAAATATTATAGATGTTACTGTTGTATTTGGAACCAGTACTGTAGCCTGTTTTTATAAGGGTCATCCTAGAAGGTCAGCCCTACCTCTTCCCATGTTGTGAAGGGAACTTATTTGTTCTCATATCATTTCTCAGTGGACACTTCAGATTAAGGTGTGTTTCTGAAAGGCTTTGCTAAACAAGCAATGGGTGCTTAAAATAGCACAGATGTCAGAATTGGACCCCACCCATCTTTGTTTAAGGGAGAGATATTATCTAAAAAGATTTCAAGCTAAATATTAGAGCTGGCCTCATTTTCCAAAGGAAGTAGCCATCCTTGCCAAAGCTGGCATCATAAATATCTCAAGGACACAGTTTTTATTTCATACCAAAGTGAAAAGAAGGAAGAAAAAACAGAGAGAATCTGCAACACGGTATTTATCAATCTCTTTTTTTTTACTATGCCTCATTCTGTGTGTTTCTAGTTCTCTGTCTCTCTCAGTCTATTTATTATATTATACACACATATCAACAGTTGTCTTTCTTATGCATGTATCTGCTTCCGCTTTATACGTTTCTTACTTTTTCTCTTAATCATTGGGGGTGGGGGAGTGTTTTCAAGACGCTGCACCTGATTCTAATCTCCACTATACTTGTGTAAATCCAGAGTAACCCCAATGGATTAAATAGAATTATTCTGAGATTTGACCCCAATGTAATGAAGATCAGCATCTAGCCAAGCCAAGTCACACTAGGGTTGAGTTTGGCCTGCTGTGTATCAGAGTTAGCCATGTGAGTCACATTAATGTTAACTATGGAGTCCATGGAGAAATCCTCATTCATTATGCTGACAAAATTCCTTTCCCTGGGTTGTTCCCCTCTCCTACCATTGTTATTTTAGCGCTGCAGCTATTTTCCTCCTATTCAGTCCATCATTAGTTCAGCATGTCATTGAGACTAGAATATAAAAGTGTCATCTAGGCAGCTCCTGTGTGAGTGGACAGCAACTTGTTGCTGAGCTGCCTCTGATGGGTGCTATTGCTGTTCATTCATTCACTCCTGTCTACCCTCTTTGGAGTTGGAGGTACAGACTTAGAAAGGAAGATTAAAAGAACAAAAAATGTACAGTTTGTCTTAATAAATCGTGGGGTGGAATCGGGGAGGAGGACATAATTGTCTCTGTGTATCTGAAGTGTGTGAACACCATGGAAGGAGTCTTATTCAGAACAGAGAGTTATAACTAGGAATAATGGGAGAGAATTAGGAAGGAGAATATTTAGGCTGAACCACAGGGCAACATTTCTGACAGAGGCATCTGTTAGAATCCCAAAGGGAAGTGGTGGAAGCCCCATTCCTGAAGACTCTTGAAACTTAACTGGACAAAGGAATAGGAAACACAGTGTGGGAACAAGCCTACAAGGAGAGGCTTAGTCTAGGTGAGATTAGGGGTAACACTTTCCATAGGAGTTGGGCACATAATCAGCTTAGGTGCTTTTGAAAATCCCAATTAGGCGTCTTTTGCATCATTAGGTGCCTAAATACCTTTGAAAATCTGGCCCTAAGTCACTACTGAAAATGGCACTCAGGCTCCCAAGTCACCTAGGCACTTCTGAATATTTTACACAACATAATGAGTCATGTTGATGATAAAACCATCTACCATCTATGGAGTATGATGTAAAGACATTGTTTCTCTCCTCCGTTACACTGACACCAATGGAGATGCCCTGGCAGATCTCTTCCATTTCTTACTTTGACCGGCAGTCAGGTGCCTGGATGAACAACTTCTACCTGATATTTACACATTGCAGGCAACAGTGTCGCAAGGTCTCCTAGCAATGAAGTCCCTTCCATTTTTGTTCCTGATTCTAGGTGTACTGGTTCTCCCTGGCTTGGAAGGTGAGTATAATGCATCTAGAATGTCTGTCTGATGCTGCAAAAAAAGAAACACAGCCTCACCATTTGCTTCCTGTTGTTAGCAGCACAAAATTATTTTAAAGTTAATAGAGCAAAAATTCTGAGGCTTTGGGGGTTTTTAACGTAGAATGAATCTGGTGTATTGTTTAATATTTCTGTAATGCAGTGACAGTGAGCAAAGGTTGGAGCCAGGTCTAGCGTGATGTGCCCTTGTGCAAGCCTTTCTACATGCAAAGAGCTGCAAAAGGTCCTCAGTAATTCCAAATGATCCACACCCTGCCCTCAACCCAGAAGTACAACTCTTCCGAGTATGACTGAGACAGGGATAAAATGAGAATGAGCTGCTTTAAGACTGACAGGCCTAGGAGATGCTGGGGGAGGCGGGGGGGGAGAGAGAGAGTGTGTGTGTGTGTGTGTGTGTGTGTGTGCGCGTGTCCATTGTGCTGTTGACTTCCCCTTGCAATAGAGGTGGTGTGGGCCTGCACCACCCTAAGGACCGCTCCAGGAGGGATCTCTCACGGAAGACCAGAGAGTGCAGTGGAAGCATGACCACTGCATTATGCCTGTACTGCCCCTGAAGTTGGTGCAGCACACTCCACTCTCTGCTCCTGGCCATCTCTGCTGGTTATCAGGCAGGTTGAAGGAAGGGTCCAGCACCATAATTCATCCCCTCCCTCTCCCCTGTGGGATGGCTTGAGTCCCCAGATACTGAAAGTGACCCAGAGTGTGCAGGTATCCTGGCAGGGAGCTCCAAGGGGAGAGTGGTGGGATGAAATTGTTCAGTGCACCTTCCTCCCCATATTGTTGCTGGGCTAGTGCCAGGCCCATCTAGCTCTAGAGG